TGAGAAGCGCATTTGGGCATATTGGAAAATGCGCTATATAAATAAAATTATTATTAATTATTGTTATTAATATTAATTATTATTATTATTATTATTAAGTGGATTTGCCTTAGATACTCGTACTACTTTAAGTGGCGTAGCGCACACGCGTGTTTGCGCGAAAATGCTGGCCAAATCCACAAGTAGCCCAACAAGTAGAAAAAAGAGAATTTACGGTTTTTTAGTCTAATGTCTAACGGTTTAAGGAGGCAGTGATAACCAGATAAGACTCCAGCTGACAACGCGATTAATTTCCTTAGGTAGCAGAGGGGAAACTATTACGAAGCGATCAAACAAATAACTTGCTAACTTGAATTATATTTGAGTAATGCTCCAATGCTTGTAGTAAATAGATATTTTTACTTTGTATTTATAGACCATATACACCTCATTATTTTTGTCATCACCATCAGAAAGAGCAAGGCGAGAATATGTATTTTTTGGGAAGTTTCGTTTGGTACCTAGTAATTACTGATTATTATTTATTGCAGGTCAAAATGAACTACTAGGTTACGTTGGCGGGCAACTATATATACCATGTGTAAATGCCATACAAGCCAAGTATATCTCTCTCAAAGTAAAAAATATAGAATTACAGAATTTTGATTTAAAAAATAATAAACTCTATTGTGTTGAGAGCAATCCATACCACAACAAATGCGCCACGCAAATGAACGGAACCCTTCGAATGGGTAACTTGGTTATGTTCATGGTGAAAGAGGCATGGAAGGAACTGGATGGGAAATCATGCCAGTGCTTCGTCAGATATAACGGTTACAATAAAGATGTTCCTGGACAAATGAGGACTATTAGACTTCAAGGTTGGTTTGCTCAGTTCCATGCTAAACTTTTTAGGCTGTTTATCAAGCTACTTTTTAAGGGAGGGAAGGGGAAGGCCCTACAACCTTGCTTCATCACAACAATTCGGTGGAGGAGATGCAGGGAATGAGCAGAATGCATGTCTACACTCACATTGTGTTACGTGCTCAGAACAAATTTTTTATACAGTTGCATTTGGCATCCAGATCTGACATATAACTCAGGGCAGTAGCACAGTAGCAAGCCTTGAAAAACTGGGGGGGGGGGGACACAACGTCCCTTCACAACACTTGATCACAAAAAAAAGAAAAAAATATATTTAATTTCTTTTATTTTTCACATTTAATAATAATAATGAATAATGATGGAGTTTCTTATGTAGCACATTTCGAATATCTCAATGCGCTTTACATTTATAACTAGTGGAAGACTTTATGGGCTGCATATTAAGGCACTATTAGCAACCGTGCAGCTTACAATCATGAGTGATTCGTTAGTAAAATTAGTATTATGCCTTCATATTGGGATAGGCTGTTGAACCGGGAGACAATCCCCTACTGTTACACGAATAATTCAATAAGTTCTTTTATGTCCCCCATTTACGGCAGGTTAGGAAGGGTTGGGAGACAGGGCCTACAGTTTAAAGTCCTTGTCCGAGAAGACTTGAAGGTCTAACCATTTGCAGATGCAATGACAAAGGCAGCACCTTCTCTGAGCTAACTGGGTAGCTTTGACCTTAGTCCCAATGAAAGCAATCAAACTATATTTTATTTACTTAATGGAAGTACATTTGAACAGGTGTAAGAATAATTATCAATATAAATCAGTACATGCTCCCTGTTAGTCTTATTAAACATCTGATAGTATAACAGGTCATTTGATTGCTTTGATTGGGACTAAGATCAAAGACATTTTTCATCTTACCAGGGCAATAGCCAGAGGAAAATTTCAACTGAGGCGATTGACTCAATTGACTGCCGAAGGCGGTCATAAGTAGGGGGTATTGGGGGATTCCCCCCGGAAAATTTTCAACTTCAGACTCTCGGAAATGGGATTTCCAGCGTTTTGAGAGCCATTTTGTTACATTTTTAATGTACAATTTATACATTTTTTTCTTCTTCTGATAATCGGAACCACCTTGTTTACTTTTTTTCTTATTTTGAGGAAAAACAAGCAACTGCCTCACTTGCCTCATCGTAGCTACGGCCCTGCTTACAGGACCTAATTTAGAAACAAGGGGTTCTTACCCGGTACCCACCACTTCTGTATTTAAAGAGAAGTCCTGTATTTTATCCTCAAATATCTCTAAAACTAAATAAGTCAAATCGCATAAATGTAATATACTGTATACAGTATTTAGTATTCAACGTTTTTTTAATGGCTGTTTAATAAAATTAGTCATAACCACCACATCATGCCTAAATCTCAATAAAAAATCGGGTCCGTATTTTGGACCTTAGTTTTGAGCTTGTTCCTTAATTGTTTTTGGTATTTTCTTCAATTCTAGATCGAAATTCAACGGAAACAGAAACCCCAACAAATGTTCCCAAGTCAGGTCAGTCCTCATTTACAGCTTGCGATTCACACCGACACATTAACACTACCGATGACCATCCAGATTATCCTGGGATCCCCCGTGACCTCTCTTCCTGTTAGCGGTTAATTTTATCCTAATACATGTGTTCTAAAGGAGGTGAGAGAGAGAAGGTGAGGGGCTTAATGTAGTAGGGGAATGGCCCCCTCCTAGGAAACCCAGCAGCATCACCCAGCTAGCCCAGCTAAGATTTATGAATGCAGAATGTCAGAATGCTTTAACACAGCAACGTCCACAGATTTATCCAGTCAGAATGCTTTAACACGGCTAAGTCCACGTCTGTGCTGACATCTTCCAAGCATACGTGAAAATGTTCACTAGACCCCATCAGTCCCACGGGAAAAAATGTTCTCATAATATCGGGGGGGAGGGGGGGGTGGAGTGTAAGGAAGTGTATTCAACCAGGTAAACGAGAATAGCCTAAAGTTGAAAAAAGAATGCATTATTTGGGATCCTGTATCCAACAGCAAAAACCTTCCACTCCTTCAGTGTTATATATTTATTTTTTTATCTTATCCTTTTTTATTACGCTATTTTTAGTTACTGCTCCAGATACAGGAAAAGGCAATGTGTCATCCCCAAATGTTACAGCCAAAAAAGGTATGTAGGTTTTTATTGTACAGCACAATATGAGCTTTATTTCTTTAACGATAATTCATGAAGTAGTTTATCTGTGGTACCTTAATGCCGTATGGTGATAATTTTTTTACACGCCATTTTTGTTGTAATTAGATAATACGAAAACATTTTCCAGTGGAGTTGGGGTGGGAGCTTTTTTCGGTGGCTTTTTTCTTTGCTTTCTGGTATTAGTTCCTGTTTCTTTCCTGGCTATTCGTTTATATATAAAGTATTATAAACCTTCGAACGGGAACATCCCTTCACAAGATTAAAACCAGAATGGAAATGTAGCCAGAGATTCCAGTGCAACGCAAGGTGAAGATGTGCCATTACAGAGGATCGGGGAATCAGACAATTGTTAGTTCGTTAAATGGAGGGTTTTCACGTGACGTCACTGCCGCCATCTTGGTGTACCAAAACAATACATTTTCTAACCTCTGGGAATGGAACTCTACTTTTATGCGAACGCTATGCAGAAAGTTTCTATTGTTTTGTACACCAATATGGCTGCCTTATCACTTGAGCGAAAACGTTTAAATCATAGAATTACTTAATTTTCACGAGATATTGTAAATTATCAAGGGACGATCGGAGCCATGTAATGAACCTATAGAAGCCGAAAGCTGCGGATAAAACAGCCGAGATGTTGAGAATTTACAATATTATGCGAAAAACCAAATTCAATAATTGTTTTTACGAAATAGCTGTTATAAATCTCGCGTTCAGATTGGTTGTGAGCGCGTGCTTTATGAGAGCACACTGCACGCGCGCGCACTTTCAGTTTATCTTAAATAACGGTTGTTGTAATTTGTATTTTAAAAAAAGAAATAAAAACTTGCTTGCTGTGCTGTGTGAAGTTATAAAGCAGTTGGGGATTGGCAGAACACTCGAAAAGTGTGAAAAAGCACTCCACTACGCGTCGTGCTTCTCCTAACACTTCTCTCCTGTTCTGCCAACCCCCGCGTGCTTTATGACTGCACACGGCACGCGCGCGCGTTTTCTATTTCTTCATTAGTCGGCTAAGCATCTGGTACGGCTGTATATTTTTACGAGTCACGGAGTATTTTGGCAAACCTTTAGGCGTGCCAAAATAAAAGTGACGACTAAAAATGCCCAGCCGTATCAGATGCTTAGCCGACTGATAAGTTGTTTATCATTTAATTCTGCAAAGAAATCCTCAAACTCCCTCTAAACTCTATCTTACCCAGCGCGAGCAGATGAGACGCACGTTATTTGCAGAAGTATTAAATGATAACTTACTTAATTTCGGCTTACTTACCTAACTAACGTACCAACCAACCTACTTACATACCCACCTCCCTACCAACCCACTTACTTGTAGACGTACCTACGAACTTCATTGCGCAATATTTTGACAAATTTTTAAAAAAATGAAAAAAGAACAAAAAAAAACAAAACAAAACAAAACAAAACAAAACATGCTCTTTGCATAAAATATTTATCCAACAGGTTTTTGATAACTATTCATGCAAAATGATATGAAAATTCATTAACGATCTTTCGCTTCTAGAAAATCGTTCCCAATTAGTCATTCCGAGGTTGGGTAAAAAACTAGGTCGAGCTGGTATTGCAGTGCATTCTGGGGCTGTTTTAGGGGACAAATGAATAGACGCCATCTTGGTAACATGTGCCCTAGAATAACCAAACTTAACCCCGGCTCACAATGCACTGCAATAACAATACTCGACCCAGTTTTACCTCAACCTCTGAATGGCTAATAGTAAGTATACCTTGTCAGCATTAGGCTGCAGAGTGACATGACGGACTGGGCACTACTCCCCAGAAGCTAGGGCCCAACTTTTGTGGTAGAAAATAAAGAGTTTCTGTTAATCACGCACCATTAGGATAAGTGTCCACTTCTAGGAACATTCATTTTCGACAATAACGAGTGGGAGACTGTATTTTTTGCGGGTGACTAGGACAACAATCTCGTACCCAGAGCCTGCGTTTCTTCTGGCCTGCTTTGAAGAACGAGGGCTCTGGCATAATTCTTTTTTTGAGACCAGGATTTCTTGGACTTCTGGTATAACAGCGCACGCGTTCAAAGACTTGTCAAAAATTTAAAATATTTCCCCCGCCCCCCCCGATATTTAATTTGTACTATGATTTTAACTTTGATTTTGAGTTCGATTTAATTTTACTTTGCTTATTTTGACCGTTTATATCTCACTTTCCGATAATTCCGCATGCACCAAAATATGGATTATGCCAGAGCCCTCGTTCTTCGTCACAGGCCAGAAGAAATGCAGGCTCTGGGTACGAGATTGCTAGGACAAGCGAGCGCAGTGATGGGTAGACAACATTTGGTCAATATCAACAAAAACATCAAAGTTCTATATCATATTGCTTAGGTCTTCCCACTTCATGTTGACAAAGTGTTCCTGACTTCGTACTCGTACTCGTCATTCCCGTACCTAACATTATGATACGATGTTTCTGACACTTCAGGTTCCAATATATATATATATCTATTTTAAAGTTATTTAATAGAATTTTAATACAAATTTTTATTCCTAATATAATAACTTTTAAATATATTGATGTGACTTTGTCGAAAAATGTTTCATGATTCATGTTGTAAAGCAGAAATTTTGGCTCAAACAACAACATAATTTTTGGAAAAACCACTGTAGACGCCTTGCCCTAATTCTCAATAATCCTGCAAAGAATTCATTTCCCCGGTCTTTTTCGAAGGTTGAAATCTTGTTGGATGATTGCTGTCTAGACCCCCAAGGCCCGGTTGTACTAAGCCTGGATAGCTTGTGGATAAATTTGTTGGATAACAGCATCGACTTATCCACTGGATGAGGATTTATCCGCCGGATAGCGCTATCCAGGCTTCGTACAACCGGGACCAGGTCTAGATTTGTGCAAGGGGTCTAGAAACTGCACTGCTATCAAGTTATTTAAATCAGGCTTCAAACTCTTATTTACATCATTGAAAATATACGTGAGCCAATCAGAATGCAGGAAATCTATTGTATATTCGACGGTATTCTCTCATCTCTTACGATCATGCATTGCGGGTTTTGAATTTCTAATGCTTATATGCTATAAAATGGAGTGCGATTACTCTTGGGATATTTCATGGAAACTGAGCACGTATGATTAAAGCGATTGCCATATGCGATTGCCATGCGTTCCTCATAATTGTTATCTTAGGCCCCGTCCACACGTATCCGGAAATTTTTGTATCCGCAAATTTTTTTTGCGGATACGGGCCGGTTGCGTCCACACGTATCCGCAAATTTTACGAAAACGGATACGTGTGGACGGTGAAAACGATTCGAATACGCTGCGTGTGGACGCAAACATTTTCGTATCCGCAAAAAATAATTTGCGGATACAAAAAATTCCGGATACGTGTGGACGGGGCCTTAATTGCTAATACTTCTTGTAGAAGTAGAACCGTAATCTATGTCTTCCTTTTCTACTGGTCAAGTATGATAGCGTGGCGTAATTTTACTACCACTACCGAGATGTATGCTTTGCGATTTTTTTTCTTATTGATAGTTCTATTTCCTCATGAGAATAGTAAGACATTGGTGCTAATTAACTGAACAAGAGAAAGTGTACAAGGGAGTCTGGTAGTGGTAGTAAATGACGTTATAATGCAAGTGACCAAGAGTTTCAATATGAAAATATTCTATTTCTAGTCKTATGGTTTAGTAAAGGCATCCATTATTAACTACAGCTCTATGTCATGTATTAGCGTTTTTAATAAAGAAATAACATGAATTGTGGTGTGAGGTTTCCAATGATTCCTCTAATATTTTATTATATTGCTGGGTTTCAATCAGGTAAAGCTACCAACTTCATTATCTACTTTAAATGATGTTTAAACACTGACCACCATGTGCTGTCAACCAGAAAGAATTCTATTGAAAACTTGTGATTCAGCTGATGAACATTCTGGACGAGACCAGGGAATGTCAAGAGCAATTGTTTTTTGAATTGCTTACTATCAATCACGTGACTTTTTTGGAGTTGACTGGGAGGCAAACAAGCGGTTGACTGCGGGGCAACTAGCGGATGCCAAGTCAAAACATATCAAAATAAGTCCTCAAACTATTGTATTTGACAAGAGAATATGAAGTAAGAGAGCATATCCCTGTGACCCATGAAAGTTTCTTGAAAATCTATTTTTAGCTTCGCGCGCTAGTCTGAGCTATTTTAGCATGCGATTCCTGATTGGTCAGATTGTAGTGACGTCATAGGTACACAAGAGATCGGCAGTGACAAAGCAAGCTTCACGCAGTTGACAAACCAAACTTTATTCAATTTGACGAGAAAATGTGTTTAGAGGAATTCCTTGAGAAATTCTGAAAGGTTTTTTGRAAGAATCCATTATAACAGCATATGTAAAAAATACTCAGCTGAGACAAC